AAATCAGCAAGTACATCACCTAAATCCCAACTTTCAGTTGTGTCTCTGTTGCTGTCTGACATGTCCCTTGCTGAACTATAGTTCATTCTTCGCTGCCAATTATAGAAATGTGGCTCTGCCTCAGCACTGGGACATGTGGACCTCTGCAGAAAGACCGCTGCTTTCATACGGAGACCGTGACCAAGCAGAGATTGTAGTGTGGGAAATTCTTCAGATCTGCGGTAAGCTGTGCACAGGGCACCAGGGCAACCCACAAAGAAGGGGTCTCTGGTGGCCAGTGGGCACACCCCTTCCCTCCAGGTGAAGCTTCATCATGGAGATGGTAACAGCCCACATATGACTGCTGATGTCCCAGGGAGTGCAGAGTGAAGTGTAATGAGGGATGCAGGGAGTACAGAATGTACATAGTGGGTGAAGGGGAGTGCAGGGGGTAGGAGTGCAGTTACCATAGGGGGAGCAGAGGGGGAGCAGAGGGGGGTACAAAGTGAAGTGTAATGGGGGTAAAGAGAGAGTAGTGAGGTTGCAGAGTAAGGTGTAATGGGGGATGCAGGGGGGTGCAGAGTGAGGTGTGATGGAGGATACAGGCGGTGCAGACAGCTGGGTAATGCGGGGTGCAGGGAAGGCAGAGTGCTGGGTAATGGAAGGTGGAAGTGTGGAAAGTGCTGGGATATGGGGGGATGCGGAATGCGCAGACAGAGGTGTAATGGGGGATGCGTATTGTGCAAACAGACGTATAATAGGGGATATAAAGAGTGCACAATGAGCTGTGACGGGGAATGGGGAGGGGGGGGGGTGTAAGTGTAATAGAGGATGCAGGGAATGGAGAGTGCTGGGTAATAGGGCACTCCAACACACAAGAATCTCCAACCACGGAAAGGTTTCTTCACAGTGAGAGCAGGAAAAATGTAGAATGGCCAGCTTAGTGGATTGCTTTAAAAAAGGACTGGATTCAACTTTCAATTGTGTCTCTGTTGCTGTCTGACATGCCCTTTGCTGAACTATAGTTCATGATCCCTGCCAATTATAGAAATGTGGCTCTGCCTCAGCACTAGCACATGTGGACCTCTGCAGGGAATGGAGAGTGCTGGGTAATAAGGCACGCCAACACACAAGAATCTCCGAACACGGAAAGGTTTCTTCACAGTGAGAGCAGGAAAAATGTAGAATAGACTCCCTCAAGAGTTGGTTCTGTCCAGCTCAGTGGATTGCTTTAAAAGAGGCCTGGATTCAACTTTCAATTGTGTCTCTGTTGCTGCTTGACATGTCCCTTGCTGAACTATAGTTTCTTTCTTGGATACACAAAATATAACTGGATACTAACATTTATAGGTAAAGTTGATCCAGGGAATATCCGATTGCCTCTTGGGGGATCAGGAAGAGATTTCTTTCCCTGCGGGAGCAAATTGTTTCATGCTTTGCTCATTTTTTTTTTGCCTTCCTCTGGATCAACGGTGGATATAGGATTATAACTTTTTTTTCTTAATGGTTGAACTGGATGGACTTTTGTTTATTTTCAGCCAGACTAACTATGTAACTATGTAAGAATGGAGCAAAAAAAAGGGACATGCAGCTGTGTGTTATGTTGGAATGTCCTGTGTTAGAGCTGCATTGCCTTAATAAGTTGGAGTGCCATTCAAAATGAATAGCACCATAGTGCGCTAAGGCAGTTAACGTGTTGCAGTAACATACCGTATCACAAAAGTGGGTTTTGGTGCTCAAGGAAGAACAGGTCCTGTGGCACATACAGTTAGATTCTCCCTTTAATGTAGTAGAGGATACTTTTTTTTAACATATACATAATGTATAAGGACACAGTAAAGATTTAGTATCAAAACCCTCAATTTCTCTTCTATTAACCCCTTCACACCAACGTGGCATAAATATGCAGCATCACAAAACTGGCCTTTTTTTCTGCAGGACCACATATTTGCGTACCTGTCTTTGTACTGAGAATGCACCGCACAGCGCGCTCCCAGCACAAGAGACCAGGGTGTCACTGAGAGCCCCAGGTCCCGTTCTAAGGATCGGAACCCAGGACTCCCGATTCTGGGTCACATGATCATTCTCATAGCCTCTGATTGGATATCACAGTGATCAGTCACTGTATAACCCGCCCCCCTTGTTTTGTTTTTCTCCTTGAATGGAGGAGAGAGGTACATTGTATCTCTCTCTCCTTGAGGGGAAAAAAACTAAAAAATTTTTGTTAAAAAAACAAAAAAATATATATATATAAAAAAAATAAATAAAAATATCTAGATCAAGGTTTGAACTAGTTCAGTGCCAGGGTTAATGTTTGGAACAAGGTCAGGGTCAAATGTCAGGATTTTTTTTTTAAATTGGTATCAGTGTCAGTGTGTTTTAGGTAAAAAAACAAAAAACAAAATGCTGGTAGGTTAATTGATTCCTGTCTAAATTGGCCCTAGTATATGTATGTATGAATGTAAGTTAGGGACCTTAGATTGGACGCCCCTTGAGGGTTAGGGACTGATGTGAATGTACAATATATATTTGTGTAAAGCGCTGCGTAAATGGACAGCGCTATATAAGTACCTGTAATAAATAAATAAATAAATGCACACTATTTTTTCTGGGCTGTACTGTGGGTACAAACAACAAATAACATACACATATATGGTATCAATACGATCATCAAGAGCTGGAGAATTTATTTTGGGTTGATTTATGGTGGTAGGTTATGGTAGAAACAAGAAACACAGCTAAATTTAAAAAATTATTATTTTTTTTTACTATTTTGGCCCAGTTTTCCTTTGATAATACAAAAAAATCAGGGAGACATCCATAACCATTTAGCACCAAATGAAAGACCAATTTGTTCTGAAAATACAAGGTATAATCCACCTGGATGTACAAAGTAGTTGTGATGCTAACACGTCAAAGTTGTAAAATTGTGCTTAGGCATTAAGAGTTGTTTTACCCTTAGGTGTGAAGGGGTTAAATGCAATTTACATACATAGATTACCACAACATTATTATGCTAATGACTTGTACACCTGATAAGAAAATCATACAAAAATTTCCGTATGAGGAACGATCAGCCGATTATTTGATCGTTAGTATACAGTAAGGGCTCGTTCACACTTGACTTTATTTCTAACTCTTGCCAAACCCCCCTATAGCATTTGACAGGCGTTAGACAGGCATTTGGGAAATGTTTTTTAACACTTCTCAAATGCTCGCAAAACACCCTATGCGCGGTTTTGAGGCGGTTGATAGGCGTTTGCCAAGCGTTAAAACCGCACCACAAACTCCTATAATTAAGTTAAATGGTATTAACGCTCCGCAACCGCACCGCAAACGACTGCCAGGCATTTGAGGAGCGGCACCATAGACTTGAATGGGAGGCTTCAACTCCTCCTGACTCGACATGAGGCGTCAGTTTTGCCGCGACGCAACGCGACACAATGTGATGCTGACGCTTCCGTGTGAACAGCACTGTGTGCTGCCATGTGCAGAATTTTCATAGGCGTTTGAGAAGCGTTAAAAGCGCTTCCCAAACGCCTGTCTAATGCCTGCTGACAAAGCTAGTGTGAACGTAGCCTTACAGTTAGTAACAGCCGATTCTGACTTTTTGGATGTCAAAAACTGAGGGTGCTAGCTAGAAAATGTTATCTTATGTGAACACAACATCTGATTTTCATTCAATGTGTACAGTAATCATAAGAAAATAATAAAATAGAAAAAAAAAACGTGCATTATCATAAGCAACGAACGACCCTACTTCCTCTTAAATGCGCTAGTACGTATCTATGTTTGCCTTTGTCGGTTACATCATGATACGAACCCTCGTGGAAAATTGGTCGACCGTTCATCTGATTTTTTCATAGTGTGTACTGGGCTTTAGAAGCATGTAAAGTTGAAATTGATGGAAAACATGTTGAAATGAGGAACTGTCACTTTCTAAAAAATAAACTATAATATTTTAAAGAATATGGTTACTGGGTGCAATAGCATCGGAGTCTTTGCCAATCTGTTCAGTGACACCAAAGCAGAGCTGGGGCTGTTATCTAAACTGTTAGCCTGCCACTAAACCATTGATATGACACAGATCAGGCGTGACTGCTGGAACACAGACCTGCCATCTGCCTTGACCCAGAGCTGGCTATTTTAGGTTGTGTCTCAGCAGGAAGCATTCTGTGCAACCCACACTAATACCCCGGCTTTCTGCACTGGACTTCAGTTAGATCTAGTCTATAACTATAAATATATATTTATATATAGTGTATGACAGGGGTGAGAAGCTTAGTACCATCAGAAATACCAGGGCATACTTGAATAATTCTTGTAGATGATTAATCCATTGGGCAGAGGCCAGAAACAGAGTCATCAATGGTTCAGCAATGAGTGTTGCAACTTCTAATGAAATATTTCATAATGCAACTGAATGAAGTTCATTGCAGACATTAAAGGAAATGTGTAATGAGGAAAGAGAGGCTGCCATAACTAGCTGCCTGAGAGTCAGTTTTTTCTGAGATGTTGCCATGCAAGGAGCATACAGATCAGAATGACTTAAAGTGGCACTAAATAATATCATTATTCTTTAACCACTAGGCTACAGGGCACTTATACCCCCTTCCTGCCCAGGCCAATTTCCTTTCAGCGCTGTTGCACTTTGAATGACAATTGCGCGGTCATGCAACACTGTACCCATATGAAATGTTTATCATTTTTTTGTGACAGATAGAGCTTTATTTTGGTGGTATTTAATCACCTCCGGGTTGTTTATTTTTTCTTAAACAAACCAAAAACCACTGAAAATTTTGAAAAAAAAATAAGTTTTTTGTTAGTTTTTGTTATACAATTTTGTAAATAAGTGATTTTTCTCCTTCACTTATGTGCACTAATGAGGCTGCACTGATGGGCACTGATAGACTGCACTGATGGACACTGATAGGTGGCACTGATGGGCACTTATGTGGAGGCACTGGTAGGTGGCACTGATGGGCATTGACAGGCATCACTGATGGGCACTGAAAGGGCAGCACTCATATATGGCACTGATAGGCGGCACTGATAGATGGCACTGAAAGGAGGCACTGACTGGCACTGTTAGGTGGCTCTGACTGGCACTGTTAGGCGCCACTGATAGGCAGCACTGACAGGCACTGATAGGCTCAACTGACTGGCACTGATAGGCAGCACTGACTGGCAGCACTGATAGATGGCACTGACTGGCATTGATAGGTGGCACTGACTGACACTGATGGGTGACACTGAAAGGCAGCTCAGGTGGGCACCGTCATGTGGCATTGATGTGGCACTGATGGGCACTGAAATGTGGCACAGATGTGGCACTGGCAGGTGGCATATATGAGCACTGAGAGCTGGCACTGATGGACACTGACAGGTGGCGCTGCTGGGGCTACACAGATCATCAGGGCACACTGATCATCAGTGCCCTGATGATCAGTGTACATGTCCCCTTCGAGGAATGCCAATTACCGGCTCTCCTCTCCTCTCGAGCTGTCAGCGTGACAGCTCATGGGGAGAGAAATTCTGATAACCAGCATTTCCCTGTTTACATGTGATCAGCTGTGATTGGACACAGGTGACCACATGACCGAGCCGACATCTTCGGCTTTTCCGTGGATCGGTGATCCGCTGTGTCTAAGGGACACAGCGCACCGCTGATCGCTGCACTGCGCTCCCCGGGAGCCACGCATGCGCGGTTAGAATGGGAGAAAGTCATATGACGTCCTCCCAGAACGAGAGAGGGAGGCGTCCGTCATATTACTATATGGTGGGCGGGAGGCGGTTAAAGATAATCTGTACACATACGCTACCAAATGGCTCTGTAATCTATTTTCATGAAATTGTTTTGTGCTGTGTTTTGATTCCTCCTCGTAACATCCTCTGTGATCTCCCAAACCTCTCCTTTTCCCCTCACTTCCATTTGTTTAGAAGGAGCAGTGCATATTAGTTGCCATCTTGCTCTATGAACACTACAAATCTCTCAGTCCATAGTTAATTTCAGGAGCGAGCAAGAGAGGGTGGCTACATTCCTACATACAATGGGGCCATGGAGAATGAACAGGAAGTCAGACCACAGCAGTAAAAAAGGAATTTGGAGATTAGGGGAGGCTGAGAGCCATAGAAGGTATTTTTTGAGTTAAGAATATATAGGAGTACCTCGGTTTATGAATATAATGCGGGACGCTTCGTATTGCAAAAAAATCATAAACCGAAATGCACCTTTCCATAGGAATGCATTGAAAACCAATTAATCCTTTCCGGAGGTCAGAAAAAAGTTTAAAAAAAAAGTCTTTATCTGTTCAAAACTCTTTATAAAATGCACTTTAAACGCATAAATACTATACAGGGACATGATTAAAAATGTCCAGAATGGCTCCAAAGCTCGATGCAAAAACCGCTCCAACACCTCCACACTCGACGCCACGTGCTACCCACAGACTCCAGCATGCACAGGGGCGGCGCTATAAACCTCCCAGGCGCAATGCATCCTGGGGAAACTTGTTTCGTATTGCGAAAAATTTTGTAAATGCATTGAAAACCAATTAGTTCAAAAAAGTAAAAAAAAAAGTCTTTATCCGTTCAAAACTATAAACTATAAACCTCCCAGGTGCATCCTGGGGAAACTTCGCATTGCAAAAAAAATTAATAAACCTAGGCATTATTTTCAATGTATTTTCATTCGTAAACCAAAAATTATGTTAACCGAGGCGTTCGTAAACTGAGGTACGCCTGTATACTTGAATAGATTTTTTAAAACCAGACTTTAGTAGTGTTCTCCCTGTGCCTGCGTGGGTTTCCTCCGGGTACTCTGGTTTCCTCCCACACTCCAAAGACATGCTGGTAGGTTAATTGGCTCCTGTCTAAACTGGCCCTAGTAGGTATATGTATAATGTGAGTTAGGGATCTTGTACACCCCTTGAGGGTTAGGGACTGATGTGAATGTACGATATATATGTAAAGTGCTGCGTAAATTGACGGCGCTATATAAGTACCTGAAATAAATAAAAATAAAATAGTGCAGCTTTTACTATGACTTTGGTTGCTGCATGCTTTGCCCATGCTAGAGCTAGAGAATGCCACGCAAATAGCATTTTCAGAAGTAGGGCAGCCCCGATAATTCTGTACCTACAGGTTTCCCTAAATGAGACAGTCACAGTAATGGTTTTACGTTTTTGCTGTATCTGAATTAATCACTTCCTGCTAACTCATGTGTCACCCAGTGACAAGATCTCTATCCCTAAATATCCAGGTCTGGGTATCTGCAGTAAGTTAAGCTTTCTATACAACGATAGATTTTTTTGACTCAGCCTTCTAAACAGCACAGATGGGTAATCCCCCCTATTGGTCCATTGTTTTCTGACAGCTGCTGACAAGGACTGTTAAAATACCCAAACAGCATCTGCATCTGATTGGATTCAGCAGCTGTAGGGCTGAAATATTTTTTAGCAGGCTTCTTCGGTCGATTAATCCTCTTTTGTTGGATGGAGCAGGGACAGAAGGGCAACCCACTGAGCCAATTTCATCTGGTTCAGTGCATGGCCAGCTTTACTTTCCTTTTTCTTTGTTTCAATTATTTTATGTTTCATAAAAAGCAGTTGAAGGAGAGGAGGCCTTGTGCAGCAGAAGGAGCGAGACCTAATACCAAGAAGTATAATTAGGAACAATCTCACCACTGTCAGCATCTGCCTTAAACTGAAATACCAGTTCTGGGTGGATCAATGTTTCACAGTGTACTTACATGTAAGCTATAGGGTTGATTTACTAATGAAGTACAGGCTTTTCACTTAGAAAAGTCAACTTTCAATTTTCACTTAGCTTAGTGAATGATGTGAAGTTGTGTTGACCTCTATCATCCAATCATGTGCAAGCAAATATTATTTTTTTAAATGTACCTTGCAGGTGATTGGGTATTCTTTGCATAGTGAATGTTTACCACATTTACTAAGCTAGATTCCAAAAATTCCTTTTGCAAAGTGGATGCATTCTATTCCTTTAGTAGATCTGCCCCCAAATCTCCATTGATTTTTAAATATTGTAACTTTTTCATTGGCACAACACAATTTCCCATCTGACATTCTTTTCTTTTTTGTTTCTTTTTAAAGCTGAACAGACTGCAAAAGAAGAAAGACAGATTTCAAATGTAAAAAACCAGAGAAGGGGTTAACAGGGCTTCATTATCAGGGACAGAAGGCTTAGGGCATCTTAATGCCTGACAGCAGCACCAGGTGATGGGACAGCTGAAAGACCCTTGTCACAATCTGAGGTTGGCCATATGACAGGGAATGAGCTGCACTCTTGGGAATGGTTCATTCTTCCCTTTGGCCTTTAACCCCGTATGTACCAATGAAGTTTCACACAGCGTCTGGGAACTTTTCTTTCTTTTTAGTATGACAGACACATACTATGAGTTATTGGAAGACAAGCATTCAGAAGATGGACTTACGGCAGCCGAATCCCCCACACTGTCATTTCTGTACCAGCGGAGGGATAACGTGGGTGGCACATTGTAGGATACATCTGGATACATTACATATTATTATACTCGTGTACACACATCAGTATACCCTCTAATTATAAAGCAGATCTATTGAGCATCCCATCACTCACCTCCCGAGCTATCTGATTCAAGGCATGGTCTTCAGCAGACAGTCTGTCCCGGTTGGGGTGCCTTTTCCTACCGGTGCCCTGGGTGCCCATCTCCGCTCCGAGCTGCCAGTGGTATAAAGAGAAGCGGCAGATCAGTTCGATATCCACATGCAGCCCTCGTTAGGTAAACCCACAGCAATACAGCAGTCCACGTCAATGATTGTATCTGCGCCAATTTGGAGATGAAGGGGGTTGCGTTGGCCTCCACAGCGTGGTCTCCTATATCCCTAATGGTTGTACCCTAATGACAGTTAATACAACGTATGCTGCTTTCTTTGGCTAAAATGGTAATGCATTCCTGTTTTCGTTTTTTTATCTGGTACTTACAGTGCCAATGTGTCTCTCCTTATCTCCACTATACAGTGTATGGGCTGTCGGTATATCTGTGCCTATGGCTCTGCTGTCCTTGTCACAGCGTGTCCTCTACTGCTCCTGTCCCTGCTGATGCTGATTATTGTTTCCTTGGCTCTGGATGCAGATACCTGCCTGTCATGTCCCCTGATTGCACCAGATCCAAGCCCACTCTTGTTACACTATCCCCCCACTCTGCTACTGTTCCTAGCACTGAGATTGCAAAAGGAAATGGGTCAGATGCTCTTCCTCTCGGCAGGGTACTCCTCTGTCTCCCTCCTCTTTCTTTCACCTCCTCATCTCTCCTCTCCCCCCTGAGCTCTGCAGCTGACATCAGAGGGTGTGGAAGAAGGACATGCCAGGGGGAGGATTTTATAGTAGACACACTATTTGATTTAGGAGAATAATCCGCAAATTCATAGAATTAATCCATCGATCGCATAAAAGAATAAATAAAACCAATGACGGTTACAACATCCCCATTGACTATATATATATATATATATATATATATATATATATATATATATATATATATATACAGAGCTCATGCATGTTTTGTTTAGCATGTAGTCCCTGTATTGCTTTTACATGAATATTTATGAGATTGATGTCTCTACACACACATCTGAATGTAAAAATACAATCACCAAATACAAAACATCACACATTTGTTATGTATATTATTTTGAACAAACAAGTTTCTGTTTAATAAGTATTGAGGGCCAGTTCACACCAGGAAACAGTGCGGGAAAAGTATGATCACACTGCCATGTTAAAGGCACCCCAAGCACAGATCGCAAAACGTAGCGCGCTCATGGACACCAAATTAAATGGTACCGCAGTACCATGCGGTTTGGTGTGGCGCATTTTTAAGGTCCCGTTCACCCCAGAACGTTGTACGTGAAACCCGAGTCTGTTTGTGTTTCTGAGCCCATTGTCCTACATGCTCCAGTGTGATTCACATACCATGTGATTTGAGCCCATTGCTCTACACGCTTCTGTGTGATTCACATGCCGTGTGATTTGAGCCCATTGCTCTACACGCTTCTGTGTGATTCACATGCCGTGCGATTTGAGCTCATTGTTCTACACACTTCTGTGTGATTCCCATGCCGTGCGATTTGAGCCCATTACTGTACATACCTCTGTGTGATTCACATGCCATGCAATTTGAGCCCATTGCGCTACACGCTTTTGTGTGATTCACATGCCGTGCGATTTGAGCCCACTGCTTTACACGCTTATGTGTGATTCACATTCCATGCGATTTGAGCCCACTCTATATCTTCTGTGTGATTCACAAGCTGTGCGATTTGAGCCC